GGTAATTGGAAGTTAAAGGAATAGTATCTTGCCTTTGAATTGTATCATTATTCTTGTCTCAAATAAATTGCCGTGTCATCCAATTTTCTACATTACAAAATCATCGTATCATCATGATAATATTTAGAGCAGATTGTTGAATTATAACAGATAAATTAGAATATTTATCTTGATTATTTCTAGGCGAAAAGTCATTTCAAAAATTTTATTTGCTAGAAACCTTCCCAGTACTATACTAATAACTTCCCAAAGTTTCATGGCGATCCAATGAGTGGTTTGGTCAGGCATAAAGGACAAACAAACAGACATACATTCATTTTTATATATATAGATATAAGTTTTGAAGATTTGTTGTAGTTTTGTTTAGAAACTAAAAGAAAAAATGTTGATATACCCATATCTTTTTCCAAATAAACGCACAGCTTTATTAATATCTTATTCACCGCTGGAAGGAATCATAATTTACACAAATAAATTTATTGAAAATAACACATAATTTAATAAAATAAGTAATGTTTGAGGTCTAAGTTGTATAACATTTTATTTTATCAATATTTTTTGGATTTATCAGCCCTTCGACGAGAGTATTATATTAACTAATCTAAAAAACGCCAACATGAAGATACACAATATGATTCTATTGATATTTAAAAGGTCAATGATAGGAAAAAAATGTTGAAATCGATTGAGTTATTGAGGCCATCTGGGATGATCCAAAGAAGATCACTTCTCAAGGAGCTTCTAAAATAGGCTCTCATCTTCCTCACCGGAATTTGCCCGTGTTTATCCTGGCAGCTATTTCTGGAGGCTTTACGCCAGCCCAGAACGTCGAGGGTTAGCCATTGTCTTTGTGACACTTCAGTCTTGATAAGAACTATTTCTCCAGCTGTCGCCGGATAAAAGCTTCCGTCCTGTCATGTCAATGACGGGTTTCATGTTACACCCCCCTGGAGTTTTGTTAGTGAGTAAAACCCGACACTCTTTCCCCTCAACTTGTGGATGGATGGATTGAAGATTGATCGAGATGATTACTTTTACCAATTGTAAAAATTTTTGAAATACCTATAGCAACTATTTAGACAATTTAAACAATGTACAAGCCTTCTAATCTTTCTCTTTCTCGAAATGCGTAGTGTCGTTGAAGATCCGTTGACGATTTTCTATCAAACTATACAGCTGTGGCAGTTTGGAAGTACCTTTAGCAACTATTTAGACAATTTAAACAATGTACAAACCTTCTAATCTCCCTTTCTCTCTCTTTCGCGAAATGCATAGTGTCGTTGGAGATCCGTTGGCGATTTTCTATCAAACTCTACAGCGGTGGCAAAGGTGCCATGTACATATTCATTGAAAGTTTGGAAGTACCTATAGCAATTATTTCTATAGTTTAAACAATAAACTTGACTTCTAATCTTACGCTCTCGCGAAATGCGTAGTGTCGCTTGAGACCCGTTAGCGATTTTCTATCAAACTCTACAGCGGTGCAACAGACGCCATGTTAATATTCATTGTACATAGCAGAGATATATTTTATTTATTTTTGTTATGATAATAATCATTATCATTGTAAAATTTTTCATTCACTACTTAAATAGTATACCTGAGTGGTCGTGACCGCTATTTTTACCGTCGCCATATTTTAAGATCTACTGATAGCATGTGGTATCTGCTGCTGTTTTATAAAATGGGCGGAAAAGCGTTTTAACCATTAATAATTACTTCCTAATCACTGAGTTGGTTTTCACTTCCAAATATTTCATAAGATACCTTAAATTTGGACCGTGAATTTTTGACTGTCTTGCCAGAATGTCAATAAAACTGTGTTAATTGTCAATTGTCCCCTTTAATGGTTAAGTAAATTTATTTATAGCAGACGAACCCCGCTACTATAAAGTCAGAGTGGGAATATTGCTTCTTCTACTACAGTGCTATACATCCTGGTAAAAACACTACATCAAGTCTACTTCTTCATTGATTATGGTGAAGATTGTTGTCTTAATAATTTATTCTTATAAAAATGTTGAAAATTTGCTTTTTTTATTAATGCTATAGCTACTAATGTAGAAGTAAAAAAGGGTTCACTCATACAAAAATACATGTACGTCGTTTACTTTCTTTATTTATCAAGAAATTGAGTTGGCCAAATATCTTTGTAACAAGTTAAACCAATGTTTAGTTGTTTTTAAATTTCGAAAAATGTATCTTTGGTTTTTTGTTATGAATGTTTATCCGATTTGATCAAATTTCGATATGATATTTTGATCGTTGGAAGCTTATCCGTGGATTTATCTAAGGTTTCTTATGAAATATTTGTAAATGAAAACAAATTCAAGGATTAGGAAGTAATTATTAATGGTTAAAAAGTTTTCCCGCCCATTTTATAAATCAGCAGCAGATACCACATGCTATCAGTAGACCTTAAAATATGGCGGCGGTAAAAATAGTGGTCACGACCCCTCAGGTGTGGCGGACGTCGAAGGCCCCAAAACCTGCACCACGAGCCTGAAATAACTTTTTATTTTTGTAGAGAGACCTCATGGAGCAGCTACAGAACATAAGGGAATCATATGACCCACACTTAGTTGCTTTGTCTCATTTTTCTGTAGGTAGGAATGGCTGAGGTTTTGATTATCAGTATCTATTAGAATTCAAAACCATTTTAAAGGCGTAAGATTCTTTTTGATATTAAACAAATTCTACTGACCTTACTGCAATGGAAAAATTAATGAGAGGGCCTGGCTCATCAGTGGTGAACCCTCTCAGCGGTTTCGCCATTTTAATCTACCATACCGCTGTTATATTGCATTTTTGGAACTTCCTTTTATAGTGATACTGTTGATAGACTCTTTGAATGGGTATTTTAGAAGAACTATGGACATAAGCTTTGAGGACAACAGAATTACATACATTTTTAAATATATAATATGCTTCGAGCAATCGCTCTTCCGCAAATATCAAATTGTTTCTTATATATATTTTTTCCATTGCAGTAAGGGCAGTAGAAATTGTTTAAAATCAAAAAAATTCTTACGCCTTTAAAATGGTTTTGAATTTTGATAACAGATGGCGCGCTAGTGCATCATATAGTATCTATTAGGATAGTTTATCATATCTTCTATATAAATCAAAAGACAATCTAATCATTAATATTGACATCTACTCGATGTTTCGGCAAAAATTTTTAGACATGGCTAACCTATCAACCTACGAACTCATCAAGAATCTCGCATGAACACATGTAAACAACAGACTATATCTAATTAAAGATACTTCGGCCAGCAAATCTTTTTTATTGTCTCTTTTATCTTTATTATTGTATCTTTTTTTACTGGCCGAAGTATCTTTGATTTGAAGAACTATGAATGACGGCCAGACAGCCTCTACATTAGATCAAAAAGCTACACACTCTGTATATATTGGCATGTAGAAACATTAAAAAGCGTCTTATTGAAGCAGAAATCCGTAGTCACTGGCCTTTATTAAGAATTCCACTTCTGCCAGACACAGAAGCGACAGGCTCAGCTGGTGTGAAGAGAGATGTCTTTGGGCTAAAGAATGATTTGTTTTGTGTGGAGGTTCATGACGGCAGGATACATGTTAGACGTAGGCCCTAAGAAAGATCCCATCAGGACTGTATTGTGGAAAGGCATACAGCAAGAACCTCTGGCTTCATGGCGTGATGTAGATCAGCTATGAAAGTAGGACCACTTTTGTCTTCATTCAAGACACAATGACTTCAGCTATACATTGCAGATATGTTGTAACCTGTTGTGCTACCATTTGAGAGATATATGGAGACATCTGAGGCTCTTTGTTGGACACAACAACAACAGAAAATTGACATGGACCCAGAGCAGCAGCTTTACACACCCAAGATAGAGGACATTGCGACTGCTGTGATAGAGATGTATGGAGACATTTGAGCCTCTTCATTGGACACGACAACAACCGAAAATTGACATGGACCCAGAGCAGCAGCTTTACACACCCAAGATAGAGGACATTGCAACTGCTGTGATAGATATGCATGGAGACATCTGAGGCTCTTTATTGGACACGACAACAACAATAGAAAATTGACATGGACCCAGAACAGCAGCTTTACACACCTAAGATAGAGAACATTGCAACTGCTGTGATAGAGATGTATGGAGACATCTGAGGCTCTTCATTGGACACAACAACAGCAGAAAATTGACATGGACCCAGAACAGCAGCTTTACACACCCAAGATTGTGGACATTGCTACTGCTGTGATAGAGATGTATGGAGACATCTGAGGCTCTTTATTGGACTCGACAACAACAGAAAATTGACATTGACCCAGCACAGCAGCTTTATACACCCAAGATTGTGGACATTGCTACTGCTGTGATAGAGATGCATGGAGATATCTGAGGTTCTTCATTGGAAACAACAGCAATGATAAGCAAGACCAATGCATTGGCTTTTCACAAATTCTTGGAGTAAGATGTAACACAAACCCAACTTGAAGAAAGGTCGATGTTATTCTCCCCTTTCTGTAGATAAATGTTTACTGTATGGAACAAGTCTCCCAAATTTTGTTTGTTGTTTTCAAAATCATTTTTTAATATTATCAATATATATATATTGAATTTGATTATTAGTGAAAATAAGGTTTAACCTGATTATTCCAAATTTAGATGCTTTGAGGAGTTATGAAAGGAAAGAAAGCCATCACATACACACGTGTGGCAATATCATCAATATGCGATAAATGATAAATTTACACACATCCAGCCAGAACAGCTGTTGCAGCTTGTTGACATCATCTGTTGATGTGTGACAGCTCTTCGCTATGGACAGGCCTCGATGACAAGCCTTAGGATTTTGTGTTTCTTGCTTCTGCTCGTGGTGCAGGCGAGAGGTAAGTTTTCCTGGTAGCCCTATATGCAAATACGATTATTCCAAAATTGTAATCTGTTATTGGAATTCTAAACTATTTTTGACACCTATGTTTTTTTGAATAAAACAATTTTATTAGGGTAGCCTAGTGGACATGGCATCTGCCCGGTAAGCGGAACACTATGGGTCCGATTTCCATCCCTGGATGGATCCGTTTATCATTACTCTTCACAATTCATCCATTCATACCTCATCCCTAAGGTTGGAAATGACCATTATTTCTCCTTGGAATAAATTTTGATTTTTTGTTGAAAAGAAACTCATGCGGGATAATTTTCAAATGTCGTTTTACAAATTTTATACTAACTTTATTTCAATAATACAAATTTTATGGAATGATATGGTAGCCCTATATGCAAATACGATTACAAATTGTAATCTGTTATTGTAATTCTAAACTATTTTCGATGCCTATGTTTCTGTTAAATTAAAAAAATTTCTATTACCATTATTGTAATGATACAAATTATTTGGAATGATATGGTAGCCCTATATGCAAATACGATTACTAATTGTAATCTGTTATAGGAATATCTGTTTTATTAAATTTTATTCAATCCAATATATACCTTTTTATTATCTAACGATATAAGTATGGATGGCTCTATTTTCAGAACATTATATTATAAAAACACGGCGAACTTTCTAATTCTCGCTTTTTAACGGATAACATTGCAATTGTGAGTGAGCACGGAGGAAAGATATTTACTAAATGGTTATTTATACTTTGAATTGGGGTATGTAAGGTTTAAATAATTATTATTTTTTATATACTTTGATATATACTTATTGCTAAAGAATTTTAGATATTTTTAATAAAGAGGTATATAGAAATTTTCTTAAATTCTATTTTGTAAATTCTGTGATCTCTTTCTTTCATCTTTAAATTATGGCTAGGTAGATGTCAGTGGTTTTTAAAAATTCCTTGACTGAGAATGAAAACAAAAACAAGAGAAGGCTATTCAGAACCGGTGCAATCATCCTGACTGTGGTTTTTGCGCAAGGTAATTTTGAAAATGAGGAAAATTTTGTCATGATAATTGAGCGGAATTCTGGGGAAGGCCATGTCACAATGGTCTGTCTGCCCTTTTTTTTTTCTTTCGAATATGTGGAAAATATTTTTTTTTCTAACTTACTCTTCGTACTGATGTTTATTTTTTTATTTATTAATCAACCAGGCGCGATATTGAAATATTTGCGTCTGATACAGAGGAAACAAAACAAAAAATAAATTAGAACTTAGAATTAAATATTTACAAATTTATATGTATTATTCTACAGAGTTCATAAAATTTATATAGACAAAGTGGTTGATGTAAGAGAGTTAAATCATTTAGATCAGGGAACAATCGATGTCTCACTTCTGTAAAGTTCAGACAGTCATGATAAGGTGAAGAGCAGTTTGTTCAGTTTCTCCACAGGAACAATGATGTTGGTAATCCCCTTATTTTCCTTCGAGCCAAACATGTAAGTACATAGATGTGTGTAAAACGAAATTTGCAATTATACCGCGAATGTTTCTTTTTTAAACAAAAATCGAAATCTATTTTTTAAAGAGAAATAACGATTATTTCTAACTTTAAGGATGAAGTATGATAGGATGAATTGTGAAGAGTAATGACAAACGGAAAAATAAAAGTGTCCAGGGGCGGGAATCGAACCCACAACCTTCTGCTTACCGGGCAGGTGCCATGTCCACTAGGCAGAAGGTTGTGGGTTCGATTCCCGCCCCTGGACACATTTATTTTTCCGTTTGTCATTACTCTTCACAATTCATCCTATCATACTTCATCCTTAAAGTTAGAAATAATCGTTATTTCTCTTTAAAAAATAGATTTCGATTTTTGTTTAAAAAAGAAACATTCGCGGTATAATTGCAAATTTCGTTTTACAATCATCAGCCGTGTTATATTGTATTTTAAACATAGATGTGTGTTTACAATTTATTATTTTAAATCTCAAAGCGTGGACGCCACTACGCCCCAGACCATATACGAGTTTATACCCAACTAGACGGGTGACCCGGGCTTCGCCCCGGGATTGACCCGTGTGCATATCTACCCGAGTGATATATATTTAGATAAGATTTTTTTTATAATTGTTTGTTATTAGCATTATCTATTTGTTTGCATTAGCATAATTTAATCTAATCTTTGATAGAGGGCGCTGTTCGTGAGCTAAGTAGAATAATTTGAATATATAGTTTAATAATTGATTTATATATTTTTTAAAATAGCCTATCGTCTTCCCCGTATTTCTTTTACCTAAGTATGGAAATTTTGGTTTGAATTAGTGAACTACTGCGAATTTGTATACCGGACATACAAACATTCATTTATATATATATAGATATAATGTTTAATTAATCATTATTGGAATCAGTTTCATTAAAAATTCAAAGCAAAGTCAACACCAATAAACGTAATTAGCTTTAAAAAATTGATAAAATTACTTTTTTTATTCCTGGTGCTAATACTTGTATTTCTACATGTACCATATATATCTGCTCGGAGAATCTGTATAAGACTAAAAGGTCTTAATAAATATTTTTGTTGTTGTAATTAATCAAAATTAAAGGATCAAGAGCTTCCATTATATTTTGGCTTGCATTAGATGCACTAAACAGGACCTTTGGGAGAGGCCGCTGCTTATCATCAAACAGCTCGAGGAGCATAAATGCATAGAATTTGTGTAATCTTTACACAAGTGGATAAGAAACAACAATAGAGCTTCCATAATTGTCTCAGTTAGGTGAATATCCTTGTTTAAACTATAGGAGTAAATCAGGGTCAAATACACCATTTCCGGAGGATTACTTCAACATTTTCAAAACTACAATTTGTTATTTTCTACTAGTATTGTAGTAAAGAAACGTATCGTTATTTGTTGTTTAAAGTAGAAACAGAAGGGTTTAAGTAAGGACATCAAAATTTGAACCAGCGACAACTACGGCCCACAAGGTGAGATGTCGACTCATCAATGACCCTGGATGAGGGTTATTCTGGGCTGAGCGTCGGCAGGTGGCCCATGTATCAGCCATGCCACTCCATAGGCTCGTACTTTGTACCTTAAATGATATGATAGTGCCATAGGAAATGACTATCCTCATAGTTTCATATTAACGTGCGTCATTGTTAAACATCTGGGTATGGTACATAGCTCCTAGTACATAGGCTCGTACTTTGTACCTTATATGATATGGTAGTGTCATAGGCCCACTGAAGATGCTGAGAACTATTTCAGAAAAGAAAAATATAGCAATAGAACTAGATAAATTGTAAATAGATTCATACAAAAAAGAGGTAGTGAGGAAAGTTTTAGAACAGATGTGTAAATAAATCCCTTACAAAACAAAGACTCATGTGCAAAAGGGGAAAAGGAGAAAAAATTACTGTATTATTTTGTTGTTGTATGGCGAATCCATACAGGGCAATGGGTCCTAATAAAAGCCTTTTTGTTGTTGTTGTTTGTTGGTAGTGCCATAGGAAATGATATATGACAAAAGAACACAACATCGACCCGGTTTACAAGATTTTCCCAGAAAATATCATCTTGGAACGCGATAAACCTGCACACACACACACAAAATCCTTTATTAGGGACTTGCCCCATACAGATTCTCCCAACTGGGTAAGGTAATAATCATCTTGTGTTATTTACATAGGTAGTGAAATAGAAATTGAACTGGCTTTACTCTTCGTCTCAAAGTCATTAAATTGTTGACTGGTCCTTACATAATGATGTTCTAAAAATATATATAGTAAGCTATTGCCTTAGATTTGTTTGCTGATATTTTTGAAAGCAGGGTGAAAGTAGGGTGAAATGTTGGTACATTTAATTTGTTGATATAGGGCCTTCCTTTCTTCATCAAGGGCTGTACAAATTAAGTCTCCCGAACAAAGCTAGTACGATATTTACGTATTTTTAATCGACATAAGAAATTACATGGCCACCATCATAATTTTTATCAAAGCATATAGGTCAATGTTAGGTCAGCGTATTCCGGTGGTAACTAGGACACTTTAAATTACTTGTTTTCCAATTTGGCAACTAGATGTCCATCCGAACGATAACTATAATTTCCTATATACACTAATGGACAAAACTTAAGGAAGTTATACCTTTTAGCATGTATATCAGGATTCAAACAATAACTCTGAAAGATATTACAGTGACCTTTATTGAAGACACACTCAGTGTCAAATACACAGTGACTTTTATTGAAGAAGACACCCGAGATGACCAAAATGTGGACAAAATTGCCTGTCTCCTCCAAAAAATAGACTGCCGGCAATATCACTTTACTTTCCACTTCCTTAAGTTTTGTTCATGAGTGTATTATATGTTGTTTGTCTGTAATTAATAATTAATCATCAAAAGGAGTTTCTATAGAAATATCCAGGTTTACGCTTTCACCTGTTCTTCGTTAGGAATAAAACTTAAAGCTAAAAAGGATAGTGGAAACTCACAGCAAATGTTTAGACTTTCAGCTTCCATAAGTTTTGTCCATGAAAGTGTTATCCGTTTTTTGATCGTCTATAATTAATAATTGATAATCAAAAGGAGTTTCCATGGAAATTTCCTGACTTACGATTTCACTTGTTCCTCGTTAGAGATGAAACTTAAAGCTAAAAAGGATAGTGAAAAATTGCAGCAATTGTTTAGACTTTCAGCTTGCTTAAATTTTGTCCATGAATGTGTTATTTGTTGATTATCTGTAATTAATGATTGATCATTAATAGGAGCTTCCTTGGAAATTTACAGACTTAGGCTTTCATCTGTTCCTCGTTAGAAATAAAACTTAAGAAGGATAGGGGATACTCACAGCAAATTTTTAGAATTTCAGCTTCCTTAAGTTTTCTTTAAATCTTTGATGAAGTGTCTTATTTTTTTTAAGAAATATGAATTCCAGCCAAGCAATCTCTATCATTAAGTTTTGTCTATGAGTTTATTTTCCAACATCCAATTTGTAATTGCGTCTTAAATCATTCAATTTAGATCTATTAGATTTTTTGGGGCAAAAACCCCCGAAATAGAGAAACCACCCACCCATCAACCTCCTGGGATCATACGGGCCATCGCCCCCACGTTTTTGCCCCATCCACTCACTGACTGTAATCATTCAGGAATATCCTAATTGCTTGGATC